CCGAAGACAGAACATACTTTTCAAAAGGCGCGAGGGCTTCTGAGAAGTCCCGCTGCCTTCTGAGAAGGCCTTCTCCTTCTCACTCCCCCCCTTCGCTCGCCGCCAACTTGGGTGTTGGCCCGCATGGGTCCCCGCAGCGCTGGCCTGGGCGCTGGGACTTGGCTTGCACGCGGCTCCCCCCTCCCCAGAGCTTCATCCTGAGCAGCTGCGTGGTGGCCTCGGGGGGCCCGTGGAGGGCCCCCCGAGACCGAACACGAGCCACCTTTTCTGTCCGTCGTGACGTTTGCTCTGCTGCGCGACGGAGGAGGGGGTCAACGAAGGGCCTCGCCCCCGAGGGCTCGAGCAGCTGCCTCCTCTGGCCTGGCGGGCGGCGGCGAGTGGCCGGCGTGAGCAACAAGACATTCGTAAACTTCTTCTGTTAGCTCTAAAGGGAAGATCGGGCCAGACGAAAGGGGGGGATTGGGAAAGGGGGGGTTACGAAATCTGCTGCATGCAGCTGGTTTCGGCCCCACCGAGGGGCCCATTCCTCGATACATAGTCGCCTCCCGGCGCCGGGAGGCGCCGGGAAAATCAGCTACGTGAGCTGATTCTCAACCCCCCCCTTTGCTATCCCCCCCTTTCGCCCGACCCGAGAAGAATCAACGAAGGTAATGGCAAGCGAAAGGAAACACAGCAAACACGTAGTCGGTCCTGCCGGCGGAGGCCAGCGGGAGGCCGGCGGGAGCCTGCGGAGACTGGCGGAGGGGAGAGAAGGAGGTCGGTTCTGAGGGGCCTGTCTCTGCAGGACGGGGGAATGACCACAGCCACTGCTTCTCGTTTTGCGCCGCCGTCCAGCCGGCCGAAAAAGAAGCTGCGGTTGTGGTCATCTGCCTGGTGCCAAGTTTAATGAACATGACCACAACCACCGTTTTGTTTCTGCGGGCTGGAAGGCGGCAACACAAGAAAAGCAGTGGTTGTGGCCATTTTTCCGTCCCCTAGTCTTCCACCTCCACCACCAGAAGTTCGAGGGGGAGGGAGTCCTCCTCCTCCTCCTTCTCCTCCTTGTCCTCCTCTTCCTCCTAAGGAAGTAAGCCTGGGCGCGATTTCCCGTTTCCATGGGACATCGCGGATTTCCGCCGCCGAGCCAGGTGGCAGCGGCCGCAGTTTGGGGAGGGCACCTCCCCCGATCCATGGATTTGGCGACCGCGCGCCAAATCCGTGGATCGCTGACCCGTGTTTGCGCGGCCCCGAATTATCCCGCCAGCTCCTGCTAAACCCCGCCTCTTCTGGCCTCATCGGGCGTCACCATGGAGACCTATTCTGGGCTTCTCTGGCGCAATGACCCCAGGATCGGACAACAAAAACACATGGCATCACTATACACTTTTGGCGCTCCGCGCTGATTTCTGGGATCTGCGCTGGAGCCCCCCCGGCGGCGCCTCCGGCGCCGCCCCTGGCGCGCTCCGCGCGCCAGGGGGGGCGGGTCCAGCTCAGACGCAAGCGATCCGCGCGGACCGTCCAAAGTGTATGTTTACGCCTTGTCTTGTCTCAGGAGGGGCACACAGACACAATGAATCCTCGATTCCCCAGAAAATATGGGCAAAGATGGGAAGTGTGGGGGGGAAAGACAGAAACCCAGAAGATATGGGAAAATATGGGGAATAGTTTTACTTGTGTGTATTCATGTGTGTGTCCTGGGGCCCCTTGATTGTTGCTCTACAGGACCTGCCTCGCAGAGTGTTTTCTGGGGGTCCCCGCGGACTGCGCGGGTCAGCGCTGCGCTCCCCTCCCCGCACCCCCGGAGCTCGCGGGGGGCGGCGCCAGCATCGGAGGCGCCGCAAGGGGGTACCGATAGGCTGATCCAGTGCCGACCCGAGCAAGTTGCGCGGACCTCTGGCAGATTACGCTTATCATAAGAAGAAGAAGAAGAAGAAGCATATGAATAATGATACTAAGAAGAACATTACTACTGATGTATATCTATATAATGCTACTTAGAAGGGTAATAAGAAACATATGAGACGGCATAGATAACGTGTTGGTGCTCTGCGCGCATGTCTTGGATCTGCGCTGGTCCCCATCCCCCCAGGCGGCGCCTCCAGCGCCGCCGCTGGCGCGTTCCGCGCGTCAGAGTGGGTGGTCCAGCGCAGATCCAATACAGCCGCGTGGAGCGCCAACAGTTTATGTTTATGCCTTGTTTCGTTCCTCTGCTTATGGGATCTTGCTTCATTTCTGTCGTCGGGGTGGCCGTGAGGAGCTGGGAGCAGCTGGACTTGAGCCTCGGGATGCGCGTGCTACGCCTTCCAAGATTGTCCGCCCTCGTCGCAGTCCTGGAGAGAGCCCCGCCACTCCCTCATCTTCCTCCCCTAAGGGCTCACGCAATGGGGAGTGCAGGGGGGGGGGGGGGGAGGCGGGGGGCCGATGACGAGACGGGGGAGGAGGAAGGGAGAGGTGGAAGACATGGAGGAATAGGAGGAAGAGGAAGAAGGGGGGCGTTGGAGGAGGGGCGCGAGGATTCGAACAGCACGAGGAAGCGGAGAAGGGGAAGAAAGCATGATGAGCAGAATGCCCCCCTACTTCTCTTGGCCTCTCTGGTGGGCTCGGCATCGACCCGATCGCACTTTGTTTCAACGCCGCGGTGTGGAGGCAGCCGCCCACGGACCACGGGTCGAGCTGTTGAGCTGTGGCGGATCTCGTTAGCAGCAAAGTCACGCCAAGAAGCTTCGACCCGCAGATGCAGCCACGCTGCATCCCTGGCTACTGAAGAACTGGTACGAGTGGCTTGTTCTGTCCGAGCGTCGGTCCGCCGCTGTGGACGTACAATCGGGGCGCTGAAGAAGGAACCCTTTTTGTTGGGGGGGGCTCGGTGTTCCTGACTTCTTTCACAGCTTGCCGAAGATGTTCCTTAAGTCTAAGGAAGTAAGCCTGTGCTCTTTCAAATAGTGCGAAAACGTTCAGACCAGAAATAGAAAAGTAGAAAAGTGGAAAAGTGGAAAAGTACACACCTCCATTGGAAAAGTGGAAAAGCACGACACACATGGAAAAGTGGAAAAGTGGAAA